TTTCCCATAAAATAGGCATGGTTTAATATGAAGAGGTGGTGGGGTTTTTTAAGTGTGCATGACTACAAGAAGTGGTTAGATCTGTACACTGTATGTATGCTCAGCTACCCAGTTGCTCAATTTTTCTTATTCAATATGTACATAGTTAAAAAGAGCTCACTTCACTGGGAGCACATTAACTATATACCCAATTTAAATGCTTCAATAGGGAAGGTGTATTTTGGTTTAAACATCTTTTACCTGGTCTCAATCCAATATTAACCCTGTCTGTGAAGGAGATTGAAGTGTAACTTCCTGAGGTCTCTTCCACCCTGAATAATTATTCTGTGATTCTCTATTCTTCATGTTTAAAGTCAGAGTGTCAGGCATGAGATTTACACTTCTTCATCTTCTCCTGTCATCTACTAATTCTTACTGCCTCTTGCCTCTGCTTAGAATGAGGTCTAATAGAGAAATGAAGTTGTACCCTGTTGTTTACAGAACTGACATGTTTTGCAATGAAAAATATTTTTCCAAAATTATTCTTACTTGATGTGACCCAATTGTGGCAGTAATTTTCTGCTGCATGTGCAAGGGCTTTAAGAGCATGAAGAATAACACATTGAAGTTACAGCAGGTTTTTAACTTATGAGAGCTTTGTGTATGTTTACTGTTGCAAATAAAACTGTATTTTGGAGGGGAAGGGTGGTAGAAGGATAAAAAAAAAATAAAAAATTGAAGAGAATTAACTGTATCAATGATTCTCAGTCACAAGATGGATTATCACCAGGATCTGCTGTTTGAAATGCAGCATTGTTTGGTGATGCCTGTCCATACCATCCTGATTCTGAAACTGGGGAAGGTTTGATCCCTCGTGATATGCTACTGTATTTTTGTTTAAAGGCTTAAATCTATATTATGCAGTTTTGAGACATAAGAGTATCATGGAAACATGCATGTTCTTGTCCCTTTACAAATTTCTCTCTCTAGTGAAAATTATCATTCCTTGTGTTATGTGAACTACATATTGTAAATAAGAAAGTTTATTTAATACCTTGTGAAGAGAAGCCCTTTGCATTGAAACTGTAGAGGAATTTGGGAGTCAGCCAAACAGAAGGATTAACCTTGCCACAGAATTTGAACTGTCTTTAAGTCAGCTCAGTGAGAGCAGTGCAGAATGCTTGTATTGCTGTGTCAGTTTTATATTAGTTATCTACATAAATATTCATCCTTAAGGACTTGTATTTCAGTACCTTAACATAAATAATTTTGACCTGAATTTCAGGGGTGCAGGATGCCACATGTTAGTCAACCCCATTGTGCATTTCTCCATAGTTCTCATATGAGTCTATATTAATCATGGAACACTATTTTCATCCTACAGGCAAGGCTAGAAATGTACTTCATCCATTTAGAAAGAATTATGGCTTAGTAGTACAAAATCATCTTTTCATCCTACGTGAATATGCATATGTGTTCTCATGTCTTCTACAGCTTTTAGTCTGTGCAAAGGAGTTATGAATGACTTCTATAATGACTCAGGATAACAGGCACTTTCCTAAAACAGTAATTTTGCGTTTACACAGTAGATTTTAATGCTCTTCTGCATTAGATTAGATGTATGCATTTGATTAGATGAGATGCTAGTCTGGCAGTTATGGGTCTGAAGTTCTTCCAATGCAAGAGTGAAACTTTGTCCTTATCTTGCACACTATCAAAAATGCAAAGGCCGTTACCTCTTACACATTTTGTGGAACTTCTGAACGTGCCTTCGGAGAGGCAGAGTCTCCATTCATGCTCACAGGGATGCCAGGTCATGGGAAGAACTGCCCCAGTGGTTGCTGCTTCACGCTGTGTGTTCCTTCTCTACTACATGTTGCCATTGTTGCAGCGGTGTTGGCAGACACAAGCTGGTATCGCCTTTTATCTGTTTTGGTGGGAAATCTGGTATTGAGCTGAAAATGGAATAGCTGAGGCTTGAGCACATGTTTCATTCGGTAACTAGGGCATTCACCCTGAATAAATGGGTAGAATGGATAGCAAAGAATGGCAGCTGCTTGAACTGTCACAACTCAGTTGTCTGTAGCACTGCCTATCCCAGACAATTGACTGTCTTTATTTTACGCATTAGCATTCCAATGTGTTTCTGGTTTTAAAAGATGCTCTTTACTATACGCATGACTGATTCTGTATAGGAAAAGAAGATATTCTTATATCTTTTTCCAGTAATAACAACAAATAAGGTTATAAACAATAATTATATCTGTGTTATTTACTGTCTTCCTTCTAAATAATTGCTGGATGATGAATTACTTTATTCCCTTTCCAGGTATAAATCAAGTTGCTGCACAAATTTTAGTATTGTGTCTTCACTGGTGACATCCCCTGGTGTAATGTAACTTACAGCAAAGACTGCAGTTTGTGCCAAAATCTTGCCTGGTCGTTGTGGAGGTGGATTGCTTTGTCAGCCTGACTCATAAGGGAGAACTGGTTTCAGTCTCAAATAAGACTGCAGTAGCAGTAAACACTGTTCACAGAATGCAAACATTCAAGGTTTCAGATAGTTTCTATTGTAATGCTGTGATATAATTGTTGCAGTGTTATTATGTATGCCCCAAATAACAATACTAATAAAAATACATAATAATTAATTACAATCACTTTGCTTCGCTATTATTGGTTAGAAATGTTTAAAGGATTTCTCATCATAGCATTTGCAGCAGTGTACCAACCTACAAGTATTGGGGTGTGCTTAGCATTTCAAAAAAGGCATATTTTTGTTCTCTGACAAGTTAAAGTCAGTGTGCTGCAGGCTTAGAGTACCATTTGCATATTAATAGATAGAATTATAACTCTTAAAAAGCTTCATATTGATCAATGCATGTAAGACCTATGAAGACTCTGGATAAACTGCAATGAAGGCCATTGCAGAGCACACAAGAGAAAAGTCTTTTGGTGAGAGTCTTCCCTCACATGTAGCTAACAGACTTTTCATCTGATCTAGGAAGGGCACAAGTTTATTCCTCAGTAGGTCAGCCCTTTACAATTCAACTCGGACTGTTAGTTGAGGACTAACTTATTTTTATGTTTTGTGGTAGCAATTTTAACATTTGAGACATCTTTTTGAGGGAAAGCTTAAGATACAAGCAGATGTTCTAGTTGTATGGAGATGTCTGAAAAGAGCAAATGCTTACTTGGAATCAATGTCACTTTTGCAAATACATGCGCAGTTTACTTAATGACATCTGTCGTGTTAGTTTAAGTTGAACAACTTCCTGCACAAGCTCTGTTGTCCAAACTGTTGTAGGGTGTAGAAGAGTCACAGTGACTCTTAAATTACTCTAAGGATATCTTTCTTTGTTCTTAATGTTTCTAAGGCCATCACGATTTAAAGCATTTGAGATGTGACCTTGCATTTTGTTTGCTTAAATAAACTAACTGTAGGTTGCTTTGAAAGAAAGGCATCAACATAGGAAATGCTAAACAGCTTTCACACCTAGTAAAGAATACATTATCTTAAATTATGGATGGCTTGGCTATTTTTAAATAGTATCATATAGGCAATTTGTTGAGTCTCTGTAAAATACTTCATAACTATGAAACACCCCCCCTTAATTATTCTGTTATTAGAAAAAAGTGGGGGTTTTAATTTTTTTTTAAAGCATAATAGTGCAGCTTTTGAAGCAGTTCAAAAAGGATCATCGCCAAAAATTACAGGTTTAGCAAGAAAGGAAACAGCACACCATAGAATTTGTTGATCCAAATTATGTGGTTACCAAATGCCAACCAGCTGCTGCTTTTTGCTGCTTTTGCGGCATTCTTACCATGACATGTTTGCACTTAGGGTGTGCCCTTGTTTCTTGGAGTGGGGCTATTTAGCATGCATGTTAGACTGGAAGAATACATACTTAACCTAGCAGCACCACAGGGCACTACTGTAAATTTTCACTGTGCTGAATGCTAAATAATAAAAAGAACCTGAGTAACAAAATTCCACAAAAGTACTTCCATATTGGAAATGCCGCTGTTAAGATGGACCGGGGAGGTTGACTTATAATGACCAGAGATAGGACTCTTCTTTGTACTGTCCCTCCAAAGGATTTACAAAGGTAAGATAATAAATGTGCAAAAGGATTTCCACAATTTAGTACAGACTAAGAACATTTTTCCAAACCCCAGACAACCCTTACCTATCTTTTGTCCTACTCACTTCAAAAGGAAAAGGTCTAGATTCACTTGTTGTGTATGTACAGAATAACTCTATTACACACTTAATTCTTTTGCGTTTCTCCCCTGAAAAAGCAACTGGAGTTTAAAAA